CGGAGTAAATCTATCGTTCTTGAGCCGGAGTCACTTCAACAGCTCGGGCCGGAGTGACTTTTATCTCTCTTGGGCCGCAGTAGCATTTCGGCCTTTTACCCAGTCCTTGGCATTTTGGGCCACCAAGTCCATCTCACAGCTCGGCCCAATTTTTACCAAAAATTACCCTCTCAATTGCCCCTTAATTCCATCTGCGCAGCATGATTGGGATTATCAGTCTACTGGCCGAGCTAGAGTTTATTAAGCCTTTCCAGCCGAGCTAAAAACCTTTTAGCCTCTCCAGCCGAGCGAAAAAAACCCTCAGGCTCTCCAACCGAGCTAATTTTACCCCGGGTATCACTATGTCCGGTCAAAACGTCCCTTCAATCACAGCGACTGTAACGCTTCCCATTCCAGTGACACGTGGCAAGCTCTGATAAGCTGCGGCCAACTGTCATGCCGCCCTTCAGAATTTTTGTACTGTTCCCGCCTCTTTTTGCCGCCTTTTTCTCTCCCTTCTTTCACAAAACAACCTTTCTACTTCTTGAATCATTTACTCTACTGTTTTCATCTTCTTCTCTCTCTGTGCCTCTGCTTCTCCAGCCTCTGAGCCTCCTGAATCTGTGTTCTTCGTTGGTTCCGTTGCTCCTGTCCTCTGCTTCATCTTTTCCTGGTAAGCAATCCTTTTTCCTTTCCTTTGTTTTGCTTTCATATTCTGTTTTCCATGCTCTGCTTGCTTTGGCAAAACATTTTTCTTCCAGCTCTATTTTACTTTAGTACTTTCATGGAAAAAATCAGTAAAGCCCATGACTATATGTCATATACCCTAGAGAAAACTCGATTTTGATCCAGAATCACGTCCCAACCGAACTAGGATACTGTTTGTGTTATGTATGTAGATAGATTCAGAAATTAACCGAACTAGAACTTGTAGGAATATCAGTAGTTTCTTCTGAACCACTCTAGCCAGGATAAGATCACCGAACAAACGTGCACATACCGAACTAGGTACTTCGGTCTATAACCGAGCTAAGCTTTTGGGGCCAAGCCGGCTTTCTTAGTTCTTAAACCGAACTCAGAAAGCCGCCCCCAGAGGTTTAACCGAAGTAACTCTATTCACATTGCAGCCGATTTAGGCCTTGGGGCTAAACCAGCTCTCTTAGTCTTTTAGACCGAACTCAGAAAGCTGCCCCTAGACGTTAAACCGGTCTACCGAGCACACTGCACAAACCGAGCCGTCAAACCTTTTGATGAACCGAGATAGAACCAGTTAATTTGAGGCCGAAGTAGGGCTCTTATACCTTGCTTTTAAATTGTAGCACGGTCCATTGATCAGTCCTTTAACCCCCTGTTTTTTACTTTGCAGACTTAGGTTACCCAGGCACTCCTGCGTGCGCTCAACCGAGCTACTGAGCACGATTTTTGCACCGAAATAACTTATACGTAAATTATACAACAAATGGGTAAGTATAGGTATTTAGTTGAGACCCCAGGTGGGATGGCCGAATTCAGGAAGGACTATAACATACCGGATGATGTTCATTTGACATTAGCAAAAAAGGACGTCATTCCATGGGACAACGAAGGTTTCGTTCCTTTTACTCTTCAATCCATAATAGAGACCGGACTACGGTTTCCTGTCCAACCGTTAATCTGTGAGTTCCTTAGGCAAACTAGGTTATGCCCCACCCAACTGTCCACCAATACATACCGCATTATTATGGGAATGGAGACTGTTTTAC